TTTGAAAGCTTGTTTTAAACGGAACACACACACATCTGTTAGGCAATCATTTCGAACCTGTCCATTTTTTGTTCTTTCACACGTCTACGACTGCGCTGGCATTTCTAGCAAGGAGAGCAGTGCACGGCTGTTGTTGAACAGACCAGACTACTGTTCAAAACAAAAAGTTGAAGGTTTCGATCCCACGATTCGAATGCAGTCAGTCTTTCACGTATGGTACTGACTTCAATCTCTTCGAAATTGCCGGATAACCACAAATAGATGATGATTCATTGTCGGCGACCCGTGATTTTGAGTTTTCGAAGTATAAACGCACACAAATTCGAACTGTATACCACCCACGGTGCTCGGTGAGTCAGACGAGAGATTCCCCTTTCTACCCACAAACCTAGAAGGAAACAGCACCGGTGGATGAGTAAGTAAAGGGTAGAAATGGAATGCTTGGCCTTGGTGTCCTAGCCCGATGGCCTATTTCTGGTGCCTTTGAAGAAATATTCAACGAGACGAGCTTCCGATTTCTGAGGCCGACCAGTTTACAGCTCATTACTTTTACCAACTCAGGCGAGCACCTCAACAATCAAGCGATCAAGTAATGATTCTGTAAGCTGTTCAAATGATTGGTTCCCAGCCCCGTCCCCATCTCCGTTCTCCTTGATTGACGAGAAATGACAAAACAATACTGTGTACCTAAATTTAACACCAAGCTCCCAGAGTGTTGGCATTGGAGCTGAAATTATCGGATTATCCAACGGGTTGGAGGGTTGAAGCTGATTAGACAGGTTTTTAAGCTGATGGACCGCAAAACAGACCGGCTTTGATGGAGCAAAGTGAAAATGAGGTCGCGGAGGGAAAGAGATGGGTGTGACCTGCAGATCGTTCGATTTGAGGCGAAAATAGGGAATTTTTCAGGGAATATTTTCCGCAATGGGCAGAGGTCGTGTGGTGACAAATGGTGCACCATCACACACACACACGGTCTTAGGATCAAATCCTGGATCGCTTCAAGCAATTTTCCATCCCTCCGGATCGGCTTAGTTGTTACCAGATCCGTCTGAGAGGGTAAAAGCTCCGAGTTGTCCATCGGCTGACCTTCGCAATCCATTGTATGGATGACATACCCATCCAAAACGACACTACGATTTTGGTTAGAAATTGAACGCGGGGTCCATCTCATAAACTGTACTAATCGAAGCCAAAAGAGTCTACCCTCATACTATAGTATCTGCAAAACTTGTGCCACTACCTGCGTGTTCCCCTGTAAAGTTAGAGATAAAAAGGTGAAGGACAGCGTGTCAGACCAGGCTTTGGCTGAAGTAAGGGCTATTTTTGCCCATAAACCGTTGTGCGAATGTTATTACGAGGGTGCTAAGTTATAAACGGATCGTATAGTTTCACAGCGGACTTTATGGCCCTCGGAAAGCGTAAATGTGCATTTCAATTCTGTCCACGGCAGACATCCCAGAGCTGGTTCTCCTTTGTGATGACACAAAGTATTGTATTCACTCTCACACCCCACAAAGACATTTCAATGCGTAATTTGGGTTGACTGTTGATTTATCGAAACCAGCGGGGAGGTCTCTATTCTGTTCCAAAAGACAATGAAACACTGTTGATTGTTCTGAGTAAACCCTACTTTGTCAACAAAAACAGTCTTGGTGCTTTAAAATGGGCTAAACTACAATTATGAAGCCAGTACTAAATGAAGCAATCGATCGATATCTCTTACACTGAAATACCTCAGTATTAGGAAACTTGCAACTGTATTTATGTGAATACGAAGGAGAAAGTCGTAGGGTGTTAATCGAACCCGTCTAAGGGATGCGCCCTGTATTCGACTTTCATTCAGAATCGTAGTGGCGTATTGAATGCGTATGTGGCCTATACAATGGCTTGCGGTGGCTAGCCGATGTACAAGTCAGTGCTTTTATTCTCCCAGACGAGTCTGGTACCAATTAACCGACCCCGGAAGGATGGAAGGCTTGGTTGGCCTAGGCGGTCATCGATCCGTCATTGGAACCCGTGACCAAGTGCGTGGGATAATGCGCCACTTGCCACTACACCATCTCTGCCCTTGTAAATATACCTATAAAATACTGAAGGAGCAGAGCAAAATTTTCGCAAATTTTCTCCAAAAATCTTTGGAAGCATCTCTTCATAATGGACATAAGCTATCAAAGAATAATCGTCAGTACATGCTGTTTCTTTTCGGTGGAGATCCAGTTCGATTCATTCAACCTATGATTTCTGATAATTATCAAGTTTCCGGATGAAATAGTATGTTTTTTAAAAATAATCATCTGCTCGGAGATATATATCAGAGCGAAACATCCAAAATTTAACTAGATGGGCAAATATTTGCACGGCGCCGTTCCTCTTGATAGCTGACTAGAAATTTGAAAATAGAAAGGGGCGTGGGGAGAATCTCATTACACAGCCCTTTAATGGAACCACTTCTATTTTCTGGAAATGGCCTATATTTCTAGGCGGTCTGGCTAAATTCTTTTCCTGGCGGCCGTTCCTTTTGTAACTTCATTTGAAGGGCAGTTAAGGATTAAAGGTTTCTGAGATATCCCCCCTAGGATGGCCTGTGGCTTTCAAGGATAGCACCAGGGACATTGTCGAGAAACAATTTCGACAAGGCGTTCCAAGGGCCCAAAACCGGGTTGGCTTGCGTACACACCCCAAAAAAACGCCATGTTATGGCGGCCTTTGTAAGGCTGCACCATTCACAGTGAAGCGTAGGTCGCTTTACGCTCAGGTGGGTACACCCAGATGGCTACAGACGCATAATTTCGTACAATCCCCTTTCCTACTCCTTTTCTAACACCTTATACTTCTCTTGATCCGCCTATTTTCACGCTTTCTTCGGCATTTTCTATTTCACTTGAGCTAGCTGTTGATTTTCCGATTTTGTGTAACAAAACCAATTTGGAGTTTTTTTTTTCTCTTCTCACTCGGATCGGTGGTCCCTCATTCGCTAGAGACGCCAACTTTCACACTCCCTTAAATTCTTTTTACTTAACATTTACTGTATACTTTCGGGCTCTGTTTTTTTTGTGAAAGGACTGTCCAATTTGTCAATTTACTGTCCTCATAGTCTTACAGAAGCCACAAGTTAAAGAGTTGTCCCTCATGACTTACACGAAAAATTTGGTTTTCTCTCTTATTCACCGCAGGATTCCTGAGAATCATCTCAAATGTTTCATCAGATGTAATTTCGTGAAGCTTTTTGCTGCTCTGTCTATACTGTGGAGTAAGTAAGTAACTAAGTGATAACTATAACTTCGTTCGTAAGCAGTTCACAGTGGCTCAGACAGCTCTAAGCTTTTTCCTGACACACTTTTAAGAATGATTATATCTCAATAGCCGCTGGACTTCCTTCACTTCGATGTTATTATTATTAAGGAACATTATTTATAAACTTTTACTGAGCAGTATGAAGAAAAATGCTGAAGGCTCTGTTCCTTCCGCGCTTTTGCCTCGAAGGGCCCAGAGACTACGCCGTATCAATGATATACTGGATTCATTCTGAAGTAAGAAATTTCTGATCATCTGCGTAGAGCGTACTTTCTCCAATGACTACTTGCTCTCTAATTTCATGAAGTAACTAAAAGAAAAGAAATTACTGCAGGAAGCTCTGCACAAAATGTGAGGTGCTGATGATTTGTACATGAATATCATCACTGTGCTCATTTTCATCTATATACTAGTAACTTTGACGTCAAAGTAGATGGATAGATAAATAGATAAGGGGATGGAGTACTGAAAAGTGCAGTTTCTTTGTGAAGCTGCACTTAAACATGATCCATCAACAAAAAACTATCCCCGGCGCACGACCCTTGCATACTGCGGACCACCGGCCGAATGACGAATCGAACACTTTCGAATAATGGAGGTCTCAGTCCGTTCCACGTTTCACAGTGCACATACATGAAAGACAATTCGGTAAGAGAGTAACCGATAGTTATTTCTGTTACCAGTTACTTACCAGTTACACATCAGTCACACAGCTACGGCCGATGTGAAGCGGCAGGAAAAGTTGTCTGGTGTATTTCTAATTTGGCCATGTCTCATACATGAATGCCTTCGCTTAAATCAAGGCCGACCACTGACACTTTCCTGCAAACTTTGTAATTTGCGTTATACCCTGATATTTATCTCAATTCATCTTATAAACTCCCCCCCCCCCCCCCCCCCCCCCCCCCCCCCCCCCCCCNCCCGCCACGATGGTGGGCAGGTTTGTATTTATACGCGTCCACTACTCGTCTGGCTACTGTATTTCGTTCTCTTCGCGTCCTGAGAGGAAATCGTGGATGGGACGTATTCAGTTCCCTTTTATGAAGCCTACCCCCACTAATTTTCCCATGTCCAGCTGTTCAGGCTAAAATTGAATCGCAGGAAAAATTCAAGTGAATTTTCATTCTCCACAAGTGTAGTGTCGAGGGAGGGGCCGTAAAATGAGCTAATTTGGAATGTGAATTGGTTGCCATTTTCAATTAGCACATTCATCAGGATTCCAATGACTTCTTTGACAATATCGCATGTCAGCTCAGCCTAATAGGAGGCATGCCTCCCTCTGGTTTTGGCGCGAGGTCATTCTCACCCCCTCACAGTGCGAAGAGTACCATGACCGACCATCGCTGGCCTTTCGTCGTCCTTCATAAACTTATTCTAAATTTCCATCATCAATCCACCCATCTCACTTTCAATAGCATCGTTCATCTTCTTTTTCGATCCGTCGTGTGGAGGGATTGGCCAGGAAAAAAAATGTGCGCAGTGGCTTGGGACCTGCTGAACGACGCGAAAAAATTCGCGGCATCAAAAAACCCCAAAGCTGCCAAGAGTGTGCCGCCCTCATTCATCAACGTGAGTTCGGAGGCAATTTTCCTACACACAGTTGCCCTCGTACACAGGGGGGGACACTAGAGTTCGTTGTGAGTATCCTGGGCTGTGCTGTGGTGCTGCGCCGCCGGTTTGCTATGCCCTGAGGTGCATCCTTGATGCTAACAAAGCATGTAACTGCGCTACTGCATTGGATTCATCGTGGTATTTTTCGTGGTCATCGAAGGAAGATATTCATGAGGACAATTACCGTATTCTGTGAAGTGCATAGACTCAGGTAAGCGTTGATGATTCTGTTGTGAATCGTACATATCTGAGGTGTTGAGACAGATTTCTAGAGCTAGTATCTGATAGATCCCCGTAGTACGACGATTCATGCAATGGGATGCCATCCATATTTCTTAAGCACTGACGAATCTGAAGCATTAATGCAACATCTGGCCGTACGCAATAAAAACCAATGGTCGTTTAACGGGTGATTCGTTGGCATTCACGGTATCCTCTTTGGCCACCTCTGTTATGGTGGCCTCCAAACCTCCTTTTCAACCAGATCCCTTCAAGTTTGAATCCTTCAAATCAGTCCATGGCCAATAAATCCTTCACATTCGACCTTTTTCTGGGTTGCAGTACAGGTGGCCAAAGCTGTACCAAGTAAAGACCTGTTTAGTTCAGGTTCAACTATACAAGGTTTTCTAGTCTGTAACTGGTAATCTGTAAACACACCTCTTCTGACTTCCTCCTTTCTGATAACCGATGAGTGGTGCTTCATGTAATGATAAAAACACTTAGTTACCGTACCCTAAACTCTGATTTTTCCAAATATTTCATTAAAGAAACAGTCCATAGCGAATGCCGTGCTGGACAGCTCCACCCACGATTGGTCGAGTGTCCATGACCCCTGTAATGAGCGTTAATGACATTTGTTTGAGAGTAAGCCTTACAGTAGTCGATCAGCAGCTGTCATGGGTAATTGAGTGCTATACCAGAATTTTGTAGGGTTAAGTAAAACTGTTGTAAATAATAAAGCAGTAAAAATCTATAAATTATCAAGTATACCAGATATTTTGAAGTGTCAAAGTTGAAAGATTTCAGTGCACCCGAGTGAAGTCTGTAAGCGTTCTATAACAGCAGACAGCAAATTTTTTCAACTAGTAATAACGGTCTAGTACGGAACTGTAACAGTTTTATTTAATTGCATCGCAGTTTTGATTGATGGGCTTTGTAGAAATCGAAAAAGTAGGAATTTGATGTTCTCAATACCCGGTCGATCAGCCGAAGTGGTATCCCGAGTTCCATGGAGAGTTGAAATGAAAAATAGCGACTTGCCATCCTTTGAATTCGCCTCAGAATCGATTTCTGAGCTATCCATTGTCTGACAGACGGGGTGGACGGACGGTAGTTTCGGAGGCAACAAGGACGGACCGACGGACGGACGGACGGTCGGGGACAAGGAGGGGTGGGTGCGCAGCGCCTCTCCTCAGTTTGCGCTAATCTCCAAATAGAGGACGTTCATTGCCAGCTCATCAGCGTTGTCTCTGTGTACTCCTCGATCTCCTTCGGTCGATCATGTCCTCTTCCTTATTTATCAGACGGATTACGATAGAACAGTAGTGATGGTCGGGTTGCTACTGCTGCTCATCTCCATACACACATAGACCACTGCAGCTGTTCGCTTTCTCAAACCTAATCGAATTAGCCAAGTCGGCCATTTTTTCCGTCCGTCTGCAGGCGACAAATCGGATTGAATTCGATGATTTGTCGCGCATGATACTCCCCCCGAGATCGTTATGGCCCCCCTCCCCCCTTCGAACAACCCGACGTCTTTTATGGTTAGCACATCTTTTTGTACTGCTCAACTTTTTCTTGATCATTTACTACTTTTAAAGTCCCATAGTTGTTCGTTGTTGAAGGTCGTATGTATTAGGTCGGGGACAAATTTGCCCTGGGAAAAAACTTTTGAACGTTTTTCTATCGGGAAGCCGTCGGAATTGGAACAAATTTTGATCGATGTTGTAGAAATTGGGGTCACAAATATATGACAAGACATATGAAGATCCGATTCAGCTCAGATCTGCCTGCACGTTCATTTTTTGCTTTACACCGTTTTGTCAACACTACTTACCGGTATGGCGGCTAGACGACCAGCTAGCTAGCTAGCTAGCCAGCTAGCTATCAGTTGGTCTAAAGAAAACCGCTTACACAACGACCGACCGCCGGTGACGACCATGTTTGCATGACCGGACGGACGGACGGACCCTCAACAAACTACTTCGATTACTTTTTGCAGCATTCCAAACAATATTTACATAGGTTCTGGCCTCCATCACCTACACCTGCCCGTCTATTCTACACAGTTTTCGTTGTTGGGCAATTTATGGGGGGCAAATCAGTTGTCAGTCAGTCGATCATTCTTACTCGTACACACACTGGAAACCAGTTCAGTATGTGCACGATGAGAGGAGGGGGAAACGTGCTGCTGGCTGTTCTCACCGCGCCCATATCTGGCTTGGTCTTTTTGATAGTGCATGCCATTGAATGCCGCCAACTTTTTAGATGTTTACTAGTTATCAAATCGCGTGATATCATCTTCATGTCATTTACTGTTACTGTCAATCATCTCATACTTAGTAGTTACTTGTTTCAGTTCAAAGGAGACTGCCCAAAAGACGATCCTCATCGACAGTGCTCCACTAAGAATTCTCCACGAAAAAGTGTCGCTAACGGTTCAAGCTCCACAAAAACCCACGGACGAGGTTCGTTCATTTGGGGGATTTGGTCCTCCTCGGTCCAATGTATCATATGTTTCTGTATATTTCAACGTATGATGTGTTTAATTTCGTTGCGCACGCACAATTTCCCACACACACACAAATCCCACGCACTCGTTTCCATGTAAACTGGTCAGTTTATATGCATCTGCTGTATCTTCCGCCATCGTATCATCCCTTTCTATAAACGCTCACAATCGCCCCTAATCGTCTCAGTTCTAGTGCTCTGCATTAGAAAGTCCATTGTGTCTGGCGACGAAAATCCATAGAGAGGAACCACCGTTTCGGAAACTCGCTCTTTTCGAAGTTTAGCTCCAAACTGTTGAGGTTCCAAAAAGTGAAACTCCCACTACGCTTCGGTGACCAGCTGGGCACGCTCCTTGCAGCTGCACGGCTTCGCAACTACCGTAGTGTCGGGGACTCTATCGCTTTTTCTGGGATCAGGACCTTGTCCTCATTGTAGAGAGGGCTACAGACCCGTGCTCAGGTGCTGACTTCTTCTAAAGGGCCGCCCGACTCCTGAACAGGTCGGTCTCCCACGTAATTCCCGATTCACTCACAGCTACGGTAGGACAATCATAGGATCCTGTACCTACCCAGTAGGGACGAAATTTTTCATCGGAATTCCCGATAACCTAGTTCATGGTAAACTTCTTAGGCTCTACTAGTAACCAGGTCCTATGTACCACTGCGCCTGTGAAGGAGGTATAATCGATGGTGAATATTGCTGTTTATTTACATTTATATGACTCCGAAATTTCCTTCCCACAGCAATTCAGAATTCAGTTGTTACTGCAAACAACCCTGGCTCCTTGAATTTTCCGGACCCCCCATTTCATTACTGTTACGTCGGTTTCGATTTTACTTACTTGTAACGACTTATGATGTTGACGTCTCCGCCGTTTCTCCCTTTCTTTATCCACTCGAGTACCCGATTGAAGAGCTTCTCGAATGAGTAAAAACCAGGTTTCGCAGTGGAGCGTTTTTTTTTTTGGAAGTCAGTGTTTTCTCCAAGTATTGGTTCCGACAATGCCATTCTTCCCAGACCCTTCGACGACTGTCTGACGTATATCATCGGAAAGGTGGCCCAGGGTATGACCCACAACATTCCTTACTCCTCCCAAACCTTTCATTAGGAACGCTTCCTGTGTCCGCGTAATCTAGCCGTCTCCAGGAGGCTCAGACGAAAGCTCAGCAATGCAACCAGTGCCTCTTATCTGATAGAGTTTTCGACGTTAATTCTACCCTAGGGACCCGAATTTTGACGTTTTTCGCACGACTCGTTGGCCCTCGTTTATCTAAGTGTCCGTACGTCGACACTCTTCCATTCGAATTCTTCCTCATTCACCCACTTCATGACGTTTCGGCAACAGGAGCCGTCCGTGCGGGAACAAATCCTATTCTTTCCTCTCCTACAAAACACTTTTTCTTTTTACTTGAGTTTACTTTAACTTTACTTTATAACTTCTTTGGGAAAATTCGATTTGACCGGTTTTCACAGGTTTCAGTAAGCGTCTGTTGATATGTTCGTATTTTTCAGACAACCAGATCATCTTCAAATGATTCTGAGTCGTCAACAATAAACTCAACACCTACATGTGCTCAACTTGTAAGTAATAGAATTTAAATTTACTTTTTTTCTTGAAATCGATCCTTGGAATCCGTCTCTTTTCAGGTTGAACAGAAACTCCAAGAAATCACGCAAGAAGTTGAAAGTTTGGCCGCTGTAGCAGCAAAGAACGCGGCTGCAGCAAATACTGAAGAGTACAGAGCACAAGTAATACTTTAACCAGATTTTAAAAGTATTCTGCTTACGTCATTCATAACATCACATCTAAAAAAGGAACTGGTATCTGCAGTAGTGCATTATTACTCAGTAATGCAGTATATTTGACGTTTTTTTCCGTTTTTATAGCCGCCAGACGGTAATTATGAGTCGCCGCGAAGACGGCTGTAGCGATTGTGAGAAAACAGGTGGTCGTGACTTTTCTGCAATGCCAGACCTACAGTATTAATCAGTAAAATTGAATGGATTTTCAAAAACTGTTCAGGTTTTCGGTATGTCATGAGTAGAAAGAAAAAACAAAAATGTATGCGCTTTAGTTTTTATTAAGAAAGTTTTAAAGTAACAAAATTCGTGCGAGACAAATGCATTTTTGCAATTTTACTGGTTTACCATTAGGTAATCCTGTTGTGCAGTAAAAAATTCCTGGCTTTGAGGAAGCTGTGGGAATTGCAAAAGAGAAACATGGGATCAGCCGTTTTGGGCAGACGGGCAGTAGGAATGGTTTTGTGTAATCGATCCGCCGCATGCGACTGTCGCGGACCATTTGCCTTATTATAACAGCCATAGTGTTCTTCATACAGCTCAATCGATATGCGATTAATACTTTTGGCATGATTCTGTTGATAGTTCTTTTGTTCCCGTACTTCTTACTTGCTGCTGCACCCTGCTACATCCCTTCGCGCGCGACGTCTTTCTCGCCGCGCCGCGACGATTTCGTTCCTACTGCACCACACCCGCCATTTCGTTTTCCTTGGGATTTCCTTGAAGGAAACAGGAAAATCCTCGGAGGGAACCAGAGGATAAATACGTTACGGGGGAGCTCCTGGAGAATCTTCTTGGAGGTAACAGTGTATCCAGCAGTTCCCAGTTAGATGTCAGATAGGAGATGATAGTCAAAAGAAAGAGGGAAAACGAGTTATTTCGCCGTTTCAACCCTATAATGTGCTAACAAACTCGGACGAAGTGTTCAGTAAATACTGCAGATCGCTTTTTGCAGTACAACTTTTGTAATACTGGATCGTTATAAGTAGACTCTCAGACACTTCAACAATACCTATACAGTTACTCGCATTCTCTCGTCTAACCTTCTCTCAGAAACCATTTTTACTGTGCTCTTCAGACTTGAGCTGTTAGCTCAGGCGGCAAGTAGTCTTTTAGAACATTACTAGACATTAATCAAAAAGAGATTAGCATATCCATGGGAAATTGATTACGCCATGAACTAGAAAGTGAGAAAAACCTGTGAAGGTTAGCTTGGGAACCAGCTGAAGGAGACATGACCTTTAGTAACCATGGGGTACATTGTACATTAATTGGGCTGTGGACAGGCCAGAAACGCCTTTGTATGTCAGGGCGATTCTGGGTGAGTGGCGAGTGTGCAGGCTATTTTGTACTATTACTTCTAAACGACTTACTCAAAGTCAACTGCTTACTAGATACTTAGGTTTTCACCCTCCCACTCTTTTTCTCCTTTGATATTACCGGATGATCATGGCAGTATACATACTAGTCTATGCGTGTTTATCCCACAAACTTCTTGAAAAACCAGTCAATTGATCAATTTTATTGTTTGCTCCATCAGAAACTCCACTGATCTCACCTCTTGCATTTGATAGTGAAACAATTAATTCAATTATTGAAAGGAAGTCTTCGGTGCAGTTGACTTACGTATGTTTCTTTAGCGTGCAACATCTGAAGTGAGCTCGTCATCGTTGGCTGCTTCTGAAGGCTATCGTACACCTGAACAATCACTAAGAATTGAAGTCTGCACACCACCAGTTACAAAACCTCGTCAAATTTTCTTGTCCCCAAGCGGTTCCCGTCACTTAACGCCCAACTCTGAATCGCCACAATCACAACGTCTTCCACCACCGCAACCACCACCAAAACCTGTTGTCGATTTGAGATTACTGGCTGAAACTACCCATCGACTGATTGAAGGGGTCCCAGAAAACACTGCCATGCAACGTGTACCATTTCCGGAAAAAAATCGTGAAAGCCTAGCCGATCGTCTTAGTAAAGGTAGGGGATTTTCTCGTTTTAGCCCTATACCAGTTAAATCTCAGGCTGCATTCATTTTCAGGAATCCATGACCTCACTCAGGGATCAAGTGATCGTCTTCAACGATGGAAAAGCAAGCTGCAAAGTGGTAATCACGTCAGAAGACAGAAAGACCAAAGTGAACCGCCACCGTTGAGAAGGTGAACACAAAAATTAGTCACAGAGGCATTTTCTCGTATCTCTCAGACAAACGGCTCCAACGAACCTCTAAGACTAATGGAAGCCTGTCATTTTTTCCATTCCATCGATCAAAAACGCCTTTGTTACAACTAGTCGAACGTGGTCAGCTTTCGTTTGTGTTTTGCTTCTGCAAATTCGACGGACAGTTGTACTCCTGTGAGCACACGTAGGACTTCATAACCATCGAACATTTGCAGCAAATCTACCATTAACCTGGGGGACGTTGAAATAATGACTCAAGTGATTGATTGCTTTTTGCATACTGGCAAATGAAAAATTAGCCCCGCCCATCGTCTTATCCCCAGGCTGCTGCGTTCTCCCACGGGATCTCATTTATTTTTTCGAGCGCAGCATCCCAGTGATGCTCCTCTTCAATCACTTCTTTCCCAATCTTACTTTTTATTTGTAAATATATGTTTTTTTAAAAGGCTAACTCGAAGGTCCCTTTTGAAGGCCACCGATGCGTGTTTCGGATTCGGACACGGTGTCCGATTGGAGTGACAGATACCCTCGCCCTCTTCATCCCTCACGTTCCGCTTCCAATGCGTTACAGATTAATCATTTCGTCACAGGCCAAAACTTTGGGTACGTTTTACTTGTTACACTTTAATAAGTTCCGTTTTACTTGTTATCTTTTCACTGGAATTCCTTCCTTCCTAACTCATGGAACATACACGCTTTGGTTCCTTTTCTTTGTATCCTTCCAATTGATTTTAACTTTTTCTTGTGCCTCTGCCAAAGACAAATAGCCCTTCGGGGGCAGCGAAGAAAGCCTTCCTTCTGATTACCCATTCCTGCTATGCTCTGGAAGGCCCTAGTACCTTTCCAGCCCATACCTTTGAGCATGCCTTATGACTCCCAAATTTTCTTCACTATTGGAAATTACTTCGATCAATTGTTTGACTTTCTCATTTCTAATTAGAAAAGTCGCCCAGAACGGCCATTATAAGCGGAGTTTCCAAAGAAATAATGTGACATCTCAAGGACACTCACGTGAATTCATTTCAAGTTGCCTTTGCTTGCGGAGCACACCTGCCTGACTGTATTGGTTGGGGGAAACGGGCAGTAGGATCGGTTTTGTGTAATCGACTCACCGCGCGCGGCAGACGCGGACCATTCGCCTCGTTATTACAGTTCTAGCGTTCTTCAAACAGCTCAATCGACATGCGATTATTACTTTTGGCATGATTCTAATATTAGTCCTTTTGTAATTGTATTTCTTACTTGCTGCTGCATTCTGCCACATTCTTCTGTGCGCGGCGTCTCTTGTCGCGGCGCGACAGTTTCGATTCTAACACACCACACCCGAGTAAACCGTCATAGGTATTAACGGGAGTGAAAGGTAGAATACTTTGTCCTACGGTGGTAAATTGGGAAGGAGGGGTCCGGGAACTTCTCCCCTAACACGGCGTCGCACACGCCGCACCCGCCGCCTATCTCAGGATTGCGAAGAAAGATTGGAGCGCGCAATTTGTGAGGTAGGGAGTCCTTTAATCATTTGAATTGACTGGTCGCTCCCTTCAATTTCAATGCGGTATTGATCGTTGTTTATATAAAAGGAGTCATTTTAATTAATCAAGTCCAATAAACATGAAAACTCAAAAGAAACGGAAGAAAAAACGATAAAATCCAATGGAAAAGCAGGCCAGTCAAGGAAAAATATGGCGTCCTATCGATTTTCGGGAGGCGGGGTGAGTACGGTAATTGCAGTGACATTCGCCGCATGCCGCAAGGGAGAATGCCGCGATAGGGGAGAAGTTCCGTTACCCGGGAAGGAGCAGTGCTGGCAGATTTCAGGTTGAAGTCATTTGAAAGCTGTCGTTTCTGAGGAAAGAGTTGAATGGCGTAAACACTTGGAGAGTGTTTTCGTTCAAATTTTTATTGAATTTGTAATAGACTAGGATTCGTGATTGTTTTGCTCAGCGAAATTCAAGGAAGAGGTAGAACTTTGAAACGTTTACAACTACGACAGAGCTAACCTACTCCTACAGATATGACGAAAATGTTGAATACCCGTTATCACATAATATCACTCGTTATCGTATTGTATGGGCATATTTTATCACATAATTTACAACCCTGCTTTTCCGGGAATTCTTTAAATCCCCAGTGCATCAAAATATGCACCCAACTTCATAAAGCCTTCAAGTCCATCATCTCAGGGAAAATGGCTTTTGAATATTTTGCAACACCACTGCGCTATCTGTGCCAGGATCAATAGCATAAATGTCAGCGGAAGGATTCGGTTTTCGATGGTTCTAGAGCCCCCTGAAACTCATCTCTTTACCCTTTACTTATTCCCCGTTTCGTAGATGTAGAAGCCTGAGTTAAAAGGCGTTTTGTGTTTTTCGCAATTACTTTTCAATCCAAATTTTTTTAAGTTTATAGTTCTCCTCAGCATTCGTTCGTAGTTAGGCAGCCATTGGAAATTTCTTGACAACGAAAAAGTAATCAATTTGATTGAGTAAGTGGAGTAGAAGTATGAAAAGTCGTGATGAAAACAAATGGATGATTGACATTTGTCAAAAGCATAACTCTCATTTATACTTTCTATAATACTTGTACTATTACTTTTTACTTATAAAAGAGCCAGTTTTCTTCACTACTACACTTACTTTGCAATCATTTTTTATGCAGTCATAATCTCAAGTCATATTTAGGGAGGGCTGAAATCTTATTTTTCTCTAATCACTTTTTTTTTCGAAAACGGTTTGAGCCAGATCGGTTGTCATATCAGTAAACAAGTAAATAATGTCGGTTGGTGCCATTTGAAGAAGTTATCTTGCCACGTTTGCACTTTGCACATGTTAGTCAGCCAGGTGACATGGCAACGGTTCAATCTCCCTCGTACAATACTGGAAAAAGACAAAAAAAGAGGACAAAGGGGAAAGAAAGAAAGAGCCTCCCAACAAAAGAAACCAGTTTTCCTCCCGTTCACCTATGGGCGCGATGTGCGGTGAGATCTGACGGAGTCAAATCACTCAAAAAACCAGTACCTAAAGGTTTATTCAGTTTTTTTTGCATTTTTTTGTTGTTTTTGAAGTCAGCCGAGCACAAAAATCAGTTTGTTCTGACAAGAATAGCATGCTGTGCAGCTGCTTCCCATTAAACTCATAGACCGCGTTGAGTCGGAGAGCAATTTATCAGTACAAAAAAAAGCCATAGAAATCTCCTAAAGGCAGGCAGTTACTCAAACGCCCTACGGCCTTTCCTGAAAATGAATTGATGTCAGAGTTACTGCTTACAACTCACTGGAAGAGCATTTTGCCATAATCAATTCACCCAGTCAGCCACCATATTTCGGGGTTTTCGTTTTGAAGCTGTGAAGGTGGAAAAATAAACGCATAGTGCTATACTAGTGATGGCATAACCAATAATTGCCTGATTTCCTTGTATTCGGTCGATACCGTAGTAAGTATTTCCTGAAGTACCTAAATACAAAATAAAGTTACGCAGACAGTAGCGTGGAAAAATGTTTCGCAGGCGCAGAAGTAGTTATTTACCGGAGTTTTTTCTTATATTACTATTTCGTCCATTACTCCAATTAATTACGTTTTTGTTTAACTGAATCAGTTACAAAGTAATTTCTGAGGGCTTAAATTCTAACTTGGCCAGAGTTACAGTGAAAACTGACATTTTGCTGAGGGTTAGTACTATTTTCCCTCATTTTTCGCTAAATTTCGCTTCAAAGGCCTTAATGGCTAAGGCCATCTCATCCAGTATTCTTGAGATCCCCTATTATTTATGTTTTCGTGAACGATCTCCAGTAACCCTTGAAAGCTAGAAAAATATGAATAATAGGACGTGACAAAAATACTTCTTGAGACGGGCTCAAACATCTACATTGTACACGTAACCCAACCCATCATCGAGGCAACTCATTTTTGTGAAACCATTGTTTGGAAAATCGCCGGGTCTTATTGAAGCCAGCCGTCACTGACTTTGGTATCCATTACTTGCGATACCATGTTGAAGGGAATTGATTTATTCTTGTGGCCTAGGTACTCACTGTAGTGCAGACAGTAGTGTAAGTAACTAAGTAAAGTAGGTTGATATACTTGAGTCTGTCCCCTTCCTTACAGTCAGATAATACCTCCTGATTCCCTGACCCTGAATCCCTTCATTTGTTGGGCTATCATCGAAATTACTGAGCAACGAATAAGGAATTCAGCCTGAGAGGGAGAGCAAGTAACCCCTCCAGGTCTTGGGTAGCGTACTACAGGTTTCTGACGCCTTTGTAGCCCGAAGATTTGGAATGTGTACAAACATAATTGAGGGCAAATACTGAAGGCAGCGTGTCGACATTTGAAGTCTTATCAAGCCCAGTTACTAGTTGTTTGTGGGTCAGCCAGGTGACATGGAAAAGTTCCTTTCTCCCGAATAAAACGTCGAGAAAAGCGAAGAAAGAGGAGAGGGGGCGAAAAAAGAGGAAAAGTGAGAGTTAAGTATGAAAGGAATCCAGTTTTTAAGAATACGTCTGTGACCAGTTTTTTGTGAGTTTTGGAAGAATCTCGCCACTTGAAAGTTATACTCCTGCAGCGAAAAAAAAAGTTTTTCAAATTTTAGTTTTTTTTCGAAAAAAAGTGAGCCGAGGACAAAAATCAGTTCATTTTGACAAGAATAGCGTTGCTGTCAAGTGCAGCTGCTTCCCATTAAACGAATAGAACGCTATGAGGGACAGTCGAAGCTCCATTTATCAGCATGAAAAAAGCTTTATAATTTATTGGAAAGGGGAACCCTCATTTGAAGGCCCGGCCCTCGGTCCTTACCGAATTGTAATACTTACTCATTACTTACTTTTAATACTGTCAGAGCCGGTTTAAATCCAACGCACATCCCGTTATGAACAGTTGACCCTCTGAGCGACCATGTGGTAAATTTAAATTTAGCAGTTGTGAAGATGAAGGATTGATTGCTCAAGGTTATACTAGTAATGACATGACCGTAATCCCTCCATTCCGAGTAATCAGTGAGTGAAAGAGGAAGGGCTGCTTGAAGTTTCAAGTGGAAAGTGAATTTTCTTCGCGCATACCCAGGCAACCTGAATTTTTGGTTTGCGATAAGTCATGTCATCCAAAAAAAAAAAAGTAAGTAAAAAATAGGCTCACATAGATTTCTTTGATATTTTTCTGACCTATTCAGGTTGCCTGTTGTTGGGCAAAGAAAATTCACTTTGAAATTTTTTGAGATTTTTTTGATTTTTTTTCAAATTTTGAAGGCTCATTTTGAAAAAAATTTTGGAATTTCCCTCACACATTTATTACCTCATTTTCAGTTCAAGTGCCTGAATCGGGTATATAATTTGCGAACGTAGGTCTTGAACCAACCACAGCGAAAGTCAATATTTGGAAAAAAAAAACTGAAAATAAGTCAGCTAAACCTTGATAGAAGTGAAAACCCGCAGGTTTGGTTCAAATTCTAGATGCCCTTGGAATACCTGTCATTCTTGTTGGCTCGGAGCTTTTTGGTCTTGTGGGTAATTTTTATCTGAAAAGAAATTGTCTATATCTGGCACCCATTCATAAAAGAACTTGAAGAAGACAGTTTTATGTAGGTATACATAGATCCATGTCTTTCACTTGGCCCTCTTCCTCTGATCTCGCGCTTGTT